CATTGCTTCCAGGAATTCGCGACCTTTCTTAGTTGGGCAGGTGCCAACGATTTTGGTTTTCCAACCATGCAAATATGTTTCGTGTGTCCAGTATGCGCATGACAACCTGCGAAAGCTGTTCTCGTCTCCTCACCGCTAATTGGTGTTCATGTATGCGGGTGGAAAGAGCTTTCCCGGTTTTGCCACAATAGACCGCATCACAAGTGCCAGTTCGTTGTCGACTACATTCAGTCTCCCGGAGGTTGGCTGCTGGAAGGCTTGCGTGACCTTCTTCCCCTCTGTGCTCAGCGTAGTTGTAGGCGAGTCAATATGCTTGCTGGCCTCCCACACGTCAATCGGTGGACTGATTACTCGTTGTTGTTCATGTGGGTTATTCTTCGCTTCGCGGGCGCGACGATGAGACAGTTTTTGATGTTGGCCGCGTGACCTCGGACCGCCACCCCTATTTTCCACAAGCAAAGGCTCCCCATTCTGCCTACTCGTTTGCCCTACTGGCCCTGGCCGAGCTGAACAATTCCACTGCTCACCGGCTGGGTCAGTCGAGCAGACAGCGTTGGCGATCGATAAAGGTAAAATATTCGTTTTTCTTACGCCCAACACATTATGGTAATCGATCGAACCCAGCATCGACCGCCGAAAGTATGGATTCTCCGAACGCTGGATCACATATCGGGAGCTAATTGTCCAGAACAGGAAAGGTAACGAAAGGGGAGTTGGACAGCCTCCAGGTATAAAAACGGCGACTCTTAAGATTCACATCAAACTACCAGCATTAAATACAATTTTGAGATAACCATACAACAAGCCTTATGCTCGCTCAAGGATTCCTTGAATACTACTCCTCTCCTAGTTCTTTGTGCTTCCATGCCTCATTAGGCTTGCCTGAGGCCGATTGAACACAGTTTTATACCTCCGAGTTCGGAGCTCTAATGTCAAAGAAACACGATGTTGCGCATACCATCACTTGTATTCGGGTCGGACCGGATTGTAATAACTGCTAGCTATTCTATTGCACCCAATATGAACAGGAACCCGGGCCACTGAGGAAAATTTGCGTTAGACATCCTGCCCCGATTCATGCATGCGAGCGTTATCTAACGGTGGCATAACATCTTCCCGCTGCCAGCCACATGTTCCATCCCTACTCATTTACTTACAGGCCTATCTTTGCGCTGTTTAAGACCTAAAATCCTTCTATACCCTAGTATCTACCTAGGCGCTATTGGAAATATTTATATTTTGGAATTGTAAGTATGTTCGTGTGCGCTGTCGGCAATATGATGATCTTGAAGTAGACGCGAACTCTTCGTTAGGCGGTTTTTCTTAAGTCTAAATGATGTAATTAAATGTTCTACTGAAAACTTACAAGTAGTCTATTATAATTGCTGTAACACAGTATGGTAATTGATTCCAAGACAAGAGCTGTAAAACCGAAAATGTGGCTCCGCTACGTAGACGACACATTCGTCATCATAAAGACTTGCGACGGCGAACAGTTGCACCAGAGTCTAAATGGGATCTTCTCAGAAATACAATTTACCCGCGAAGAGGCAACAGGAGATACCCTCCAATTCCTTGACGTAAGGATACAAAGACTCACGGATGGCGAACTCGCAACAATCGTCTACCGAAAGGAATCCACTGCAGAAATCATCCTTAACTATAGGAGTAACCACCTTGCGGCCCAAAAAAGAAGCTGTGTTCGTACTCTTTTCCAACGGGCCCACCGCTATTGCAGTAATGATGGTTTATTCAAGAGAGAACTAGCATATTTGTACAAATTCTTCCGGGCCAATGGATATCCGACAAGCTTTGTCAAGAATTGCCTTAGACGTCGGGGTCAAGCACAAAACCTCATTCATTCTCACTCCTGACCTTAAAGTACGAAAGTGAACTTGAAACAATTCTGACAAGTCATTAGCACAGCTTAATCCTTGCATTATATAAAACACCAACACTAACCGCTTCCTCTATTTGTGGCGCCTTTATTATGCACGACCCTGTTGTAATTTACATGAGTTCATATGTCATTTGGTTCTCCTTCTTATGCCTTACCCCCATCTTGCATAAGACGTGCACCAAATGCCAGCTATCTCAATGCAAAGGGAACATGTCAGTGGTTTGAATTTCCTTTCAATCTTAATTTATTATCCATCTTATTTTATCTGTAAAACATGAAAACAAGAAGGGGAGTTAGCAGGCAAGAGATGGCAAAGTTGGGTCCGGGAGTAACTGACGGTGACGTGGTGGTTAAAATGTTTGGTCTGCTTGCCAAATTGCCAGATGCTGTACTATTGTCTACTGAGTTGGAGGGGTCGGTTTGTTTTAGACTGTCTGTAGGTTTAGGGGGCAGCGAAATTGAAGTAGCCTTCGAAGAGTGTGTTGCTGTGGGAGTATTTGTTGGTCTGTGAGGGTTCGGAGTTGCTGCGCTTGTTGACTGTGCTGTTCTGCGAATTCGCGCAGTCTCAGAAGAGGTCGGACGGGACTTTGTGGATACCGTGTCCGTCACAGTGCTTGGTGAGGACGTGGCTGCGAGAGTTTTTGCCGTTCCAGGAGGGGCTGCAGGGGACGAAGATATTCCTGCGTCCGGCAAGTCTGTTGATCTAACACTGGTGGTTGGACCTTGAGTTTCCGTAGTCTCAGAAGGGCTTTGACGGGACGTGGCGGTTACCGTGGTAGTTACACTGATTGGTGAGGATGTGTCTGCGAGAGTTTCTGCTGTTCCAGGAGGGGCTGTAGTGGATGAAGATATTCCTGCGTTCGGCAAGTCTGTTGATCTGAAACTGGCGGTTGGTCCTTGAGTTTCCGCAGTATCAGAAGGGCTTGGAAGGGACGTGGCGGTTACCGTGGTAGTTACACTGCTTGGTGAGGATGTGGCTGCGACAGCTTCTGCTGTTCCAGGAGACGCTGTAGTTGACGAAGGTATTCCTGCGTCCGGCAAGTCTGTTGATCTGACACTGGCGGTTGGTCCTTCAGTTTCCGCAGTACCAGAAGGGCTCGGATGGGACGTGGTGGATACCGTTTCCGTCACAGTGCTTGGTGGGGATGTGGATGCAACAGTTTCTGCTGTTCCAGGAGGGGCTGCAGTGGACGAAGATATTCCTGCGTCCGGCAAGTCTGTTGATCTGAAATTGGGGGTTGGACCATGAGTTTTCGCAATATCAGAAGGGCTTGGACCGGACGTGGCGGTTACCGTGGTAGTTACACTGATTGGTGAGGATGTGGCTGCGAGAGTTTCTGCTTTTCCAGGAGGGGCTGTAGTGGACGAAGATATTCCTGCGTCCGGCAAGTCTGTTGATCTGACACTGGTGGTTGGT